TATAGATTGATAATTCTGTTAACACAAATACTATGATCCTACGATAATCTTTAATTGCTAATACATTTTTCATCGATGTCATTCTCAGACATCTAGTTAATACAAAATCAGACACGTTAACCCTATGGGTAAATTACGACGCATACTCTAGAATGAATATAAGAAGGTAAATTCGTAAAAAAATCGCTTTATAAAAAAACGTATAACCATAAGACTTCGAGGATCGTGAGGGACAATTAACCACCAATAAAAATGTCGAGGGGCGAGAATATAGTTACCCTCCCTCTCCCCAATAATTTAAAATAAAATAAATTAAAAGTATTAATTAAATGTAGCTTTCATTATTCATTTTATTTGTTTCTTATAATATAAGAATGAACGAAATATGTAAACCAAATTCAATTAAAAAAATAAAAATAATCGACTAACTGACTAAGCTAGGACGTAGAGGTAGGTGTGTAACCATTTTATTTTATTTAAATTGCGATTTATATTCAAAGATGATAATGTACATCAATATTTCCTAGAATTCTATGATTCAATCACCCTTCATGTGTACCTCTTAACACTAGCGGATCCAGGATTTAATTTTTGGGGGGAGACTTCAGCCCGAAAGCTTTTTTTTTCATAAAAATGACGATTATTACTTTGGAGAAACAGAAAGGATCTAATTATCTATATGAAATGGTGTTTAAGTGATTTCTTAAGTCCTTTTAAATATAATTATACGAACAATAATATTTTAAGAGGTAATTTTTTAATACATTTTTTCCATGAAACATGGTTATATTTTACCATTTTGGAAGGGGCTTCAGCCCGAAAGCCCCCCTCCCTCCGTAGATACGCCCGGGCCTCTTAATTAGGGGGAAACCCCCCTCCTCTCTCCCCTGAAGTCTGCGCCTATGCCTCCGAGGTAAAGATTTACTTAAACAATGATATGAGAATATCGCGGCATCTGACATTTATAAAATTAATAATTAAAAAAAAAACTCTTCATCATAATCCAAAATTTAAATAAACCATTCCTTATGGCATTGCAAAAGACAATTTATATCATCAAGAGATAACCAACTGCATGTCCCTGCTAATAGAAGAGATAAGCGAGGATCCGAATCAGCTGCCTTGACCAAACAGGCAGCCTAAAATATACATTACCTGGGCTGATAAGATAGCTAATCTGCCAGATAGCAGAGTTTGGATATGATTAGCCACTGAATTGCGGGAATATCTGCAAGAGCAGGTAGGTAAAGGTACAGGACAAAAAAAAAAAAAAAAAAAAAAAAAAAAAAAAAAAAAAAAATATATATATATATATATATATATATATATATATATATATATACATATATAATTACGCAATTACTTTACGATAGTATTTATCCTCCCAAGTAAGAAATATTAAAACATATATTTTAATTTGGCTATCTATGCATCATTATAAATGAAAATACAAAAATCACTTTAGTGCATCCTTCTTCAATAGTCTAATACAGAGGTCTCTAAAATACGGACCGCCAGCATCTCCAATCCGGTCCGCGAAAGCTCCTTTGACTACACGATAAAATTAAAAAAAATATAAAATTTAGTAATCACTCAAACACGTGGTTATTGCAACATTTATAGCATGTGTCGTTTCTCCTAGAAAGCTCATATCACAATTGATGTGATATTTATAGATCAAACTTCACCACAATCCTTTTTTCCGTAGGACTTAACGGGAGTCTTAATGCGACTACGAGGGACTTAGTGGAGGACCCAATGTGGCCTGTGGGTCAAAAAGTTTAGAGAACCCTGATCTAATATATTTACATCACTCATAAAAAAATCAAAATCTACTTTAAGTCTCTATATGACATAGGTATGAATAAAAGTTTTAAGATTAAACAAGGAAAATACGTAGTAAAAAAATATCGATGGTCAACTTCAGTAAACATTATAAATGCTGGGAAATTTCTTAAGTGAATATCAAATATAAATATATATGCTAATAACCAAATATACGATAAACCAAAGGACACTAATAAATAACGAATCGTAGGATGTGGTGGAGTATTATTATTTTTTTTTGGGGGGGGGGAGGGGAGGAGGAGACGGAGAATATAAAATTGGCATTTATGAGATATGTTGATCATTGATAGTTTAAGTCTCCTTTTTATCATATTCTCGGACGAAATTTTAATCGTATGCAAAGAGAGAATTGACAGAAATAGCAGATGAATAAATATATAGCATATAAAGCTTATGAGAAGATGGAACTAAAATAGCTACAAAATCTCCAACTGAGAGAGATGAATATAAAGAAGAATTGAGGACAAGGCTCCAAGAATTGGTTGGAGATGTAAGTCTAGATGAGCTGTGGAGTTTAGTTAGTTTAAAAGGTGGAGTATCCTGCTCTGAGCTACTCTAGTTTGTGAGGTAAAGAGGATATTTACTAAAGGCATCAAACTTTATGATGGAGAGAACAGCTGAGGGCGTGGGTCAAGGAAAAAGAAATTTGCGAGGAAGAACTAGTGGCAAGACAAATCACCAGATAATATGAAGTGGCATGATAATCCGCCAGGTCAGGAATATTGCAAGGAACAGAGAGGACTGGAATTCGTGGATTAGCAATCCCCTACGCTGAGAGGCTCAAAATGAAGAAGCGAAAGAAGAAGAAGTATATATTAAGAACAGTACTCAAGAGAAATTAAACAAATTACCAAGAGTTTTCAAACTAAAAAAAGGTCTTATAACAAAACAGATAAAGAAGAGTTTTAAACCTAAACACAAGGCAATCTACATACCAACTTTTATTTAGGAAAAATTAAAACTGTACAGGTACGTGAGTGGAGCTCGAGCCACGGAAACGAAGAACCTTCAGCCCGAACAAATTCAGGAATGAGAGAGTTGGCGTATCGGCGTTGAATTGGCAAGAGGCAACTAAAGTGATTCCATCATCTATGCAAAATAAATGAAGACCAGAACCATTGGACGTCTTCCTCAAGTAAGAGTTATACTATTATGGACGGATCACATCTCCAGACTTGGATAGATGTAAGGAAAGTCTCAACTTCATGAAGGATCATGAAGTTTGGAACTCAGCCCAATTCCCTCTCCCCCCAACGCTGAGAGGTCCAATGAAAGAAAATTAAGAAAAATTGGAACTAACATATAAATAAAAAAATATGACGATAAATAAAACGAATTATCCATAGGTCATAGCCACTTTTATTATGATAGATATACAAAGTAGACGATAGTCGTTTCATGCATATAAATAGCAAAGAAATTTGTTATTCCAGTTATATTTTTATTTTTTCAATACCTTGTAATTGGATTACGAGGTTTTAAAGCAATTTGTAAAGATTTATGAGCGTATAAGCTATAAAAACCACAGATGAGATATTAAATCTTTAAATACATAAAATAATCCTTGTAACTCTTTTATACAAAAAATGAACGGATTCGACAAAAAAAAAAAAAAAAAAATCAAATCGCACTTAGATTTTAATTGAGATCACTGGCTGATAGTGGCCAAAGGTTTCAGCCATATAAAATCATGCTGGTGAAATATTAAACGAACACTAAATTCTTAATCTAAAGAAGGCATTTTCGAAGCAATCAAAAGACATTAAAAGAATCATTTTAATGATTCATTGTATAATACGTCATTTTATTTGTAGCAGGGGCTAAGAGTAATTAATTATGTTTTAATAACTTCATCGTAAAAATAAATAATTTTTACGAGAGTAGGTTTGAAGCGATAATAATCGACATTAGATTTCCAAACCGCAATCAGCCAGCTCTTCGGTACAGACCACAGACCATGGGACTCAGCTATGCGGGTAGTGTATGTTAGGAGGAAGGAGTTCTGTTTAAATTGTATATATTTACTTATTCTCAAATAAAAAATTTCTATTTTTTTTTTGTTTTTACTAAAGAAAGTGTATTATGTCTTGCATAAGTATGGTAGAGAAGAACAAACATCTGAGCATGTTCTTCATAGTTGTGTTCTTCTTGAGGAGGCTACAAGGAAGATTAGGGCTGAGCGGAAATCGCTTGAAACCAAACTCTACGGGACAGGGAACACTACTGTGGGAATTGAATGAGACAGCCGTCACGCTGTAATGCTCACTGGAGTAAAGCCGACTAATTTTGGCGTTTGGATTCAAATATCTCAGAAACTAAAGATTAGATCTTCATACTGTAAAAAAAAGAAATGTTTAGCACTTGATCCTCTTTGAAATGAGGTGTTATCCAAAGTCGTATTTTGACGTGACACCGAGTTAAAGATTCGAAAAGGGAAAAGAAAGCCAAAAAACTTAATAATAACGACTGTTTTGAACAATTGGACTAAAATATCTCAAAATTTAAATAACATGGACACCTCAGAAATCAATTTGTAGGAGTCAATATACTTTTTTTTTTGTAATTAGCCGTAGAAATATGAAATAAAGTCTTTCTATTCGACTTTCTATTGTACTCGATAGTGTTTCGACAAATTACTGAGCCCGTTGCAGAAGTTATTAAAGTTTATGTTTTCACTTCTTTTGTGTGTTCTTAACACGGTAGTTTTTTTATAACTTTTTTTTTTTACTGAATAGTGTAAAGTAACAGCATTCCTTTTATAAAGCAAATCGGGTATCGTGTGAAAATCGCCACCTAATAAGGTGGTAAAAAAACTCAACGAAACCTATGACATAATAAGCATTAGGTCAAAAAGAAAGAAAATATTAAATTTGATCGTGCACTTATGGAAACCAAACTTTTATATCCAAGCAAATTTTTAGGAAATGTGGAGAAGATTACCATAAAACAGTATCAGAAAAAAAATTAAATATCTAAAAATGCATTATTACCAATTTAGAACTCTGCAATACTCCTCTGTTCAACGTTCGGTATGGATGCAGTTCAATAAGACATCGAGGACATGTTACCGAAATGAACATGTTCAATTCACTAACAGACCTTAATGGTCCGACATAAACTAAAGACTAACTCTGAAGGGAATGTCTTCTCACCTTTTCCTTGGCCTTAATGTAGCTGGGCAGGCTCATGAGGGAGTGGCATAGGGGCGAGTCTGCTTCTTCCAGGACTGCAGACATGTCCAAGTTGAAATCGACCTCCGAGTCACCGCACGTCGAATCCCCCCAACCGTCCGGCTCCCGCATCAGGGCACCGCAGACGCACATGTTGAGCAGGTTACCAGCCAATAGGAGCAGAGCACCGCGCCAGCCGTATTCAGTGAGCAAGTAGTCCGTGAAGGGAGCGTAGATGAACGTACCTATCGAGCCACAATAACTGTTGAATGGCATGGATACAGCCAAGCCAATATAGACTGAATAGTGAAAGCGGTATGAGGGGATAGTGTTTTCCAAAGAGGAAGAAAAAAGCCAATTGAAAAAATAAGTAAAATAAATAAAATATCAAATTTCGCTCACAACATGATTATGGTAAAATGGAAATGGAACCACCTTCCGCCTCCACTATTTTGTCAAAAAAGGATAAATAAATAAAAAAATATTAAAACATGCTAGTTGATAATAATTGCTTTTGAAATCACCTAAAAATAAAATAAAAGAAAATCATTCAAGTAAACAACTCTACATTGTTCTTTCACTGAACTAAATCATAAACAGGAATATTAGGATAAAAAAACCGATAAAATGATTAGAAGAAAATGCTGCGGATGTAATACATCAACAACATGAATAATTTAATTCCATGTTTTTAAGAATAAATTGGTTCAATGGTATATGAGTAGTTGTAGATTTGTGAAGGATATGATGTTGGTACGCTTGATCGTCACAGCTGCAGTAAATGATGCGTCTATAAATCGTAAAGAGTGAAAAGTGTAGTCGTCTCGTTGTAGGTGCGTTTAAAGCATCTTGCAGACATGATGTAGACCGTCTTGCAGGCATGACTGAGGCTTCAGACATCCTAATGGGAATATTTTGTCATTCTCTAAAATGCCGATAGTTCGAATTCAAGACGTAATAAACTTTCACTGCGATGAGGAGCTTGCGATGCCGGTTCCACTCCAAGCGGAGGCGGGGCGGCCGAACAGGATAACGAGTGTGAATACAGCAGTTTCGTTGTTCGGCAACCTGACAATTGATAACTGGATAAAAATAGCCAAGAGTTCGCGCCCCGGTGCCGGGGGAGTCTTATAAATCTCCGCATTCATACCCTGGCCCGGGAAAACTCCGTAGAGCCTTAAAGGGGAGGAAGAGGAGCCAAAAAAAAAAAAAAAAAGATTCTACTCCATGTAAGATCTAGCCCATGACCTCTATGGTGACATATACAAAGTCTTCGAAGTTTTATAAATGTATTCTATACCCATCATCACAATTCCATGAAGAAATTAAAAATTTTACAGCAATCCAATGAACGCTAGAGGCCTACTGGCACTTTCTTGCCTATTCTTCTTCTGACGTGAATCCAGAAACACAAAGCTTTCTAGAAATCATGACGAGAATCCTATGTAAATGTATCTTTGCGATAAACTAACCCTTTATTCCACGCATACTCACAAAGTCTTCCGAACAGAGGAATACCTGATCCTAAATGTTAAATTTTCTATGTTTTCGAATAGAATTGGCTGTAATAAATTCAATTGCTTTCGTTGAAATCAAAATAATGAAATAAAAATACTTATGATTATAATTATTATTTATTATCCGTATTAGAAAAATTTAATAGGTGACCATAATGCCGGATTTCGAAGAAGAAGTAGCACGCTAGATTAAATCTTTATTCTGAAACAAGTACTTCCACGTCTACTCCCTATTTGTCGATTTCAAAGCAGCCTATGATTCGGTGGACAGGAACTATTTTTGGAAAATCATGACTGAGTAGGAGTAGTTCTCGGTAAGTTTGTGAGATTGAGAAAGGCACAGGTGTACAAATAAACCTAAATGTTGAGTCCTAATACAAGGAGAAGTACGTGAAGCCTTCGAAGTTCGAACGGAGATGAGATCTCATCGATGTTGTTCAACATGGCTCAAACGTTGAAAAGAACAACATGGAGGGATGTATGCCAGAATGAATCATAAAATCCATGGAAATGCAGAAGATATAGCTGTCCTTGGAAGCAACCAAGAGGATTTTGAGAAACTCTCTAAGCTTCTGAATAAGAGAAGCAAAGCAATTTGACCTGGAAGTAAATGAAGGTAAAACAAAATACATGATAATAAGCCGAAAATTCCACCTCAAAACAGCTATCGAAAACAGTATACAAGCTAGTTATGATATACGGACACTAACCAGCACTCTGCAAAGAAGTATTGAAAGATATGAGAGAAAAATCTCCCAAACGATAATCAGAGCTATCTGGGATCAGAGTACTAACCCAAGGGAAAAGATGAGGGGGGGGGGGGAGCAGGAAGCCTCTACATAACAATGAAAGCGTAAACAGTAGGCAAATGAACCCCAGGAAGACCAAAATCGAGATGAATAAACCGAATAGATAAAGATGCAATAGAAATAAAGCTGCATGCATATGACTGGCAAGTAATAGGCATAGATGGAGAAGGCTGGTTAAGGCGGCAAAAGATCTGAGTGTCAACATAAAAAATATATAAATATATACATGGAATCGGTACTGAGAACAGAATGAAAGATTCTGAGAATATCATATGGGCCGAGAAAGGTCAAGGAAGAATACCGATTAAAAAAGAACGATGAGCTGTATGAACTGATTGAGAACTTGGAATCATCGATGAGAAAAAGGAGATTAAAGTTATTCGGGCATATGAAGAGAATGGATCGGGATATGCTGAACAAACAAATATTAGTTAAGGTAATGGGACTGAAGAAAATAAAAGGTAATCCGGAACAAATAAAAGAATAAGTGAAAAAAAATGGGTATCAAGCGGGACGACTACCAAGACAGAGATAAATTCGGGTATAATAGTAAAAAATATAAAGGTTCTAAGAGCGGAGAAGAAGAAGCAAGAAAGTATGAAATGGATAGAGGAAAGAGTGTAGAAAGGGAGATGGAAGAAAAATTTAAAAGTATTGGTAGTAAAGAAAAACACTTAGAAGTGATATACGCGTCGTCCATTGTTAGTTTTTATTGCGATAAATAATAATATATATAATTTTTTTTCAGTTGGCTCTAGAGACCTTGCAGATCTTAGGCCGCCTGAACCAGTCTTCTCCATCTCGGCTATATATATTAGTTATATTAGTTACATACCTAACAGAAAGCAAATAATGATTGAGATCGATAAAATAAACTGCTATCGACTAAAAACAAAAAATACAAGTAGGTATGTATGGTATAGATCACGCGAAAAAACAAACAAACACTAATTTCTCTTTATTCCTTACACCACCAATTTGGATTCCGCACATCCCACTCCACTATTCAGCAATGCCATCGTGTGGTAGATGTAGTCTCCTCTTCATTGGAGCGCGGAATGTACTGCACGGGAGTCTTTCTCGACGTTGAACAGGCGTTTGATAGAGTCTGGCTACCACCTACATACTTCCTCATTATCCGTTCCTACGTTACTGACAGACACTTCAAAGTCAATCATAACAATGCTCATTCATCACTTTTTACTCAGTTTGCCGGTGTTCCTCAAGGTAGTATCCTAGGTCCTATCCTTTACACAGTTTATACAGCTGACATCCCAACCCAATACAACACTGTCATCACCACCTATGCCGATGACACGTGTATCCTATCAGTTAATAACGATCCATCTATTGCATCCCAAACGCTTCAATCACACATCACAAGACTTGAAAAATGGTGTCAGAAGTGGAGGATTAAAATAAATTCCGATAAATCCCATCAAATTACCTTCACTCTTCGCCGTAAACCTATGACTTCCTGTCCTACAGTATCCTTCAACAATAGCCCTCTTATCCCTGTCGAACAAATCCGATACTTAGGAATCCACCTTGACAAACGACTAACTTGGAACCCCCATACCAGACTGAAACGACTTGAAACCGCCCGACGTTTTCGACTACTGCAGCACTAGACAAACGCTCTAAGCTCACAATCAATTACAAACGACTCATATATATGACAATAATAAGACCTATTTGGACTTACGGAATTGAGCTTTGGGTCTCCACTAAACCATCTAATTCCTCTCGTATCCAATAATTACAATCCAAAATCCTTCGTAAAATCCTCAACGCTCCTTACTTTGTCACAAATAAAATCATCCATAAAGACCTTAATGTTCCATATGTTTCCGATTTGGCCCAATCCAGATATCTATCCTTCCATAACAAACTGCAGAACCATCCGAATCCTCTCGTTTCAAACGCTTGCTTCCTCCTCGATCCCTGATAATCCTCCGAGGCGTCTGAAAAGAAGATGGCCTCGGGACCTTCTAATTTAGACCTTTAATTTGAGTTCTACCAATGGGTTGTTTTTCTTCATGCTGTACATGTCATGTTACCAATGTCACATTTACTTATTGTATTTTCCATGTAATACAGTTGTAAATCTCAATAAAATAAAACTAAAAAAAAAAGAAAAATTCCTTACACAACGTGACTCTTCATAAACATCTTTCATCTCAGTTCACAATTTCATACTGTAATATAAGAAACATCAAAAGTATAATTGCAAACTTCAATGTCTTTATTTTAAAAAAAATATAATTAATCGATTAGAATCGAGCTGGATATACCACAGAAAATTCACTTATAATTCTGACATGGCCACGACTAACATGCCCGTCAGGCATCTCTCAATACAGGATGAGAGATCTTCTTTCCTGAATTGAGAAAGTAAACAAGGACCAGGAAGAGGTGCTGCTGGGTGCTATCCTTCATCGTGCTTATAATACGAATCGTTCAATCAAACACAACAAAGCTGCTGATTGTCACTATCATGACAGGTGAGGATAAATATTTGAAGTAAAATAAATTAATTTTTGAAGTATATTCATTTCATAATTGAAGAAAATCAAACAATTCATTCATCGTTTATTTTCCTGAGACATTGATTCTAAAATTGAAGACAATTAAAAATGCGTTTGGTCGTAATCGCGTAATAGACTGACAAAATACCTAACAATGCGGTTGAAAAAAGGAACTCAATAACGCTCAGTAATAAAAAAATCGGTCTACAGTGATAAATAATGAAACCAATTTATATGCAAAAGGGAAACTTGGAAATAGCTCATTACGTCCAAACATATTTTAAAATCAATTAGCGATGATTAACGACGTAGTAAATGGCGTCACTTAAAAATAATTATAATTGATAATGATCAAAGAAGACTAAAAATAATAGCAAAAATTTTTAGAATAAGTTCAAATTTTCCTAAAAGGATGTCCAATCCAAAAAAACTGAAATTAAAACCAGAAAAGAAAGGAGATGCAAGAAAGCCTTACATAAAATCGATAATCTATTCTTTTGATGTAATCTGTGAATGATTCCCAAATGAATAACATAAAAGTATCTTTCAAGATATGATTACAATCGATTTCGATCCAGCAGATAATTTCTCTCCTCAAAAAGTTAATTGCACTGATAATAAAAACATTATTAATGATCTTCCCTCCACAGCTTTGTCGTCATTTTATTTTGCATTTGCAAGAAACCATGTCTAAAATTTGTCAGGTGCAAAAGGTGATAAGATTGTTATCGGCTTATGTTTATTCCGTAAATAAATAAAATAGATAAATAAATCGTATATTTATAAATAATGATACAAAATGATACTTTCTTTGATTTAAAAAGGAGACGAGTAAGACAACAATATAGTTGGAGAGACGACATTACAAAGGTAGCAGGATAAACTAGATGAGGAAAGCAGATTCAAGAGAGGATTGGCATAAACTGGAAGAAGTCTTTGCTCAATTTGGGCATAATTCAGAAATTCCAAAACAATGTAATTTGCATTTTTGGTTTTGTTTATCACTATATTTTTATTATAATTGGTAATTGGTTGACTGTCGTGGATAATGAAGAGAAGAATAGTTGGGGTGCTCAGTCAATATTTTTATTATATTCGTTGTATTTTTATCTATAAAAAATTTATTTATTTTTTAAGAAGAAAGTAAATTTTATTCTGGGACTTTTAGTACACTAAGAATATCAAACATGTACAATGATAATTATACGATACTATAGAAATTATTTCCCCAGAACATGAGGAGGGGAATAAAAAGGCGTAGGTCGAGAGATCTCATTCCTTAAACAACCTAAGTAATTGAAAAAAGTATTACTTTATTATTAAAAAGTATTAATGTCCAGCACATTTGCTGATTGTTAACAAAGTCAACAAGCGCAAATAATTTTTTAATAGTACTAAAAGAGTAAAAATAAATGATAAACAAAACCAAAAATGCAAATTACAACAAAATAATGTTTTGGAATTTCTGTATTATTCCCAACATTGAGCAAAGACAACCCAGTTTTGCCAATCATGAATCTGCTTTCCTCATCTTGTTTATGCCCGCTACCTTTGTAATATCGTCTCTCCAACTCGACAGTGGTCTTTCTCATCTCCTTTTTGCATGTAGTGGCCAACATCCCGTTACTTGCTTAGTCCATCTTTCATCAGCCACCCCTGTGACTTGCCCAGCCCATTGCCAATTTAATTTTAAAACTACCTCTTTAATATCTTAAACTTTGGTTCTGTGCTTAATCTTCTGTTATGTATGCTGTCGCTTAATTTTATGTTCGACTCAAATTTTCTCTGAGCAACTGGAAGCCTATTTATGTACTTCTTTGATAGGGGCCATGTTTGGGTTCCTTAGGTAAGACCTGGTAAGACATATGTTTCGAGAACTTTGCCGTTTAAATGCACTAGAAAATTTCCTTTGGTGGTCGAGCGAAACATACGTAGTCCGGCAAAATGATAAACCGATAAACAATTACGAGTTCGTATCCCCATGCCGGGGAATTTTTTAACTCTGGCTCTTTTTAACTTAGTCCCCTACCCTTGGCCCTGGTCCGGGATAACTCATATAGCCTAAAAATGCAAGGAAGTAGTGAAAAAAAAAGTAATATCAATTAAGTTTTAGATGGTTAACATTTAAACGCGATTTAAAAGTCACGATATTTAAACGCGCTCGACGGGCCAAAACCGTGTGATTAGTAAAACAAAATTTGACGAGACTAAATATGCAATTTATTTTTTTATTTCGGAAGTCGTTTTATTGTCGATTCAATAGTTTCCGGAATATAAGTGGAAAAAGAGAAGCGAAAAAAAATTGTCTAACTTAGAATTCGGAGTCTTGACGCCACCTGGGCAATATTACATCATTCTCCAAAAATCGTAATCACATTAAAATTTCATCATTTGTTTTCACATGGCATGTCTAGTCATAACTTGAAATAGATATTGAAAATAACAATAACTAACAACAAATGAATGCTCTCGTAAGCAAACATAAACCATCACTTTAACGATTAATTCCTAAAATAGTCAAGTCTCTTATTGATTAATGAATACTGATTTCATAGCATTTTGCAATAGGCAAAGCTTATCAACGCGTTTTTATCCCTGGAAAGGATAAGAGGAATGTTAATATTATTGAAAAAGGAAAGCTAACCATATAATTATAACTGAAATGCGAAAAAAATATTTATATTGTTAAATAGTTGAACATTTTGAATTCATACAATTAATTACCCTATCATATTTGTTTAACTATGTTCCTAAAAATACTGTTCCTACAGGCTTAGCAATATTTTAAATAAAAATACGATGAAAATTAAATGTCATGTCTCCAAGATTCCACTCCAAGAGATGCCAGAAAAATTATAATGACGTTGAGAATACGAGATTCAAAAATGGGGAAGATTGTTCAATTTTGACGATGTTTAAATCTTTCATCAGCTATTAAAGACTATAAATGAAATAATAAAACGTTAAGTTAATTGAAAATTCAGTTTCCGCCGCACGTAAGTGTCACGTATTCCTATATAGTTAAACAGGTACAGTAACTGGTTGGAAAAACTATCGAAATAGAGGCCTATGAGATGTAGCGGTTAAAAAACGACACTGATGCTGTAAAACATTTTATTTTTACATATTTACTTATTGACATCTTTAATACACACCCCCATCTTTCTCTCTAGAACGATTCATATGAATTTTCCATTGTCTAAAACAGTGCGACAATTCTTCTTCTGTCAGCTCAGAACGCGTGACACTTTCCCTCTCAGCGAGAACGTGAATGTATTAACGTTAGTAGTAATAGTTTGACCTTCAGGGACCCAGTGAAGGTGCACAATCCCATTAATATGGGATAAGCATGGATAAAATAAACGTCAATTTTTTGCTTTTTGATTATCTCATTCGAGGTTTTTTTTCTCACGATGAAGTTGGAATCTTCTAATGCCTAGATTGGTGCTTAGTTTCAGGACCACAACAAAAACATGTTTCGTCAATCTGGTCGAAACTGTGAAAGAGGCAGCAGCATGCGTCCTAAAATAGGTGACAGAAGAAGATTTGCAGAACTTTTTCAGACATGTAATTGAAACCAAATGGGTTACAGCATCAATCTCGTTATTTAATTGCCACAGCTGGTATATGACAACAAGAGAAAATGTCATGATTTGTTTCTTGTAAAAGAAAACAGATTAGAGAGTGCCAGATTGAGAGGAATTTCTTAACTGTCATATGCCCGAGTAACTGGCAAATATTCTCTTTGTGAGGTCTTACGTTACAGTAAGCATCTCATTCGCAATTGCAAAGCTAAATTTAAATTAAATCTATAATTGGATGTGTTAAAATGTTGTTACAAAAAGGTTCATTTGTATTTCATTGGAATTGGTATGAGTAACATACTCCAAAGAAGTTCCATAGCACTCACCAATGCCTGTACCAGCAGCGCCGAGACTGGTGGCGAGTGTTCTTTTCTTGTCGAACCAGTAGGCGATGGAAACGACGGCGGTAACGTAGATCAAACCCAAGCCTAGACCAGAAATGAGGCCGAACGTGACGTAGATAAGAGGAAGAGATTCCAGAAAGGCAGAGAGAGCAAAGCCCAGTGCACCCATCAGCCCTCCGATGATAGTCATCCAGCGACAGCCAAATCTATCCAGCAAAGGCAAAGTATTAAGATGCGGCATTAAATACAATAAAAGTTGTACAATAATTAATAAAAAATAGTATAAAAAAAGTAACTTAAAATTGAAACATACCTGTCGACTAATGCAGAACTGAAAGGCCCGGCCAACAGGGGGACAGACAAGAAGAGGCTGCCGATCCATGCTGTAGCAGTTTTAGACGCAGAAAAGTAGTCCGACAAGTAAGGAAACAGCAGACCAAAGGAAAGAGAAACTCCGTCTGCGATGGCAGAAACTATCAGGGAAGCTGCTACCACAACCCAACCCCAGCCACCGTCTGGTGGTGTCATCTGTAAAGCAAAATAACTATTACAAATTCAAAATAAATTATAAAAATGGGAAGGGACACCACATCACGCTCGTAGTAACCACATACCCTTTGCCAATATTTATATATTTAAATAAAAGTATCATACGATCTATACAAAAGCCTTTGGCGACCCCAGTATTATACTTGGACCAATAACAAAATAGTTCTGACTAGTTCTCATCTCTTGGTTGATTCAATAATTGTTTTGTGATGTGGCACAGTAAAGCCTGTGGCGGCTTCTAGCTTTGAAGTTTACGAACTTCTTTAAGCAGTCTGGCCTATTCTCTATCAATTGACAGGTCCCTTTTCAGGAAAGCAAATGACAATCCGATGATTTTACAGAGACTTGTTGCGGAAAACATTCGATCCTACAGCATTACCAACAGGGAGGAAGTTAAACAAGTTTGTTATTAAACATGAAAAAAAATCGAACGTAATGCCAGTTAAAAAACGCTGCAAATTATTTCACAATGGTTTATTATTTCCAAACAATTATACATCTAAAGTAACATTACCTTCCGAGTTACAAAGAAAAAAAATCAAAAGATGAATCCAATTATTGCACTAAACTATTTTTCTTTAATCATTAGTAATATGCTAAAAAAAATAATTTTAGTTCAGTAACACATTTAAAATTTAAAAACCAAACCAAGGATATAACATTTGGAGTAGAACACATAAAAAAAAACAACCGGAGACCATATCTTTGCTCCTAATAATCCGATTTTAACGATTTTATTTTGTTTTTTAGGAAATTTCGTAAACTTTTAAAAAAACCATCGTAAACCATAAAAACCAAAATATCCACAAAAAAGTAAAAACTTTTCGATTTATTCGGAATTAAATTTTACCTTCCCTCGTAACTGTTTTTCCATCTTCTTTTCGTTGAAGTATGTTATATAGATAAATTTAGAGGGCGTCGAGAAAATGACTTTAGCGAAGTTTCATAGAAATCTGTACATTCCTTTAGGAGCTACGGTCTATAGCAACGCAGGTTTTTCGGCCGCCATTTTAAAAGTTAAAGGCGGAGAGTAATGTCGATGAAGGAGGATCATCCTGATTTTATATCAAAATTTGAAAAAAATCGATCCAGTAGTTTCGGAGAAAATGCGCGGACGGCGGACGGACAAAAAAATTTTTATTCGTTTTTCGGATTCTACTTGTCTTGAAACGTGAAACCTCAAATTTTGAGAGGGGGTTATGTTTTTGAATTTTTTGGTCGATCAAAATGTTTCATTATTGAAAATAATAAACCAAAATATCAGTCGAAACGAAACGTAATCATTGGATTAAGGGTAATAAAGAATTTTATATTATTTCTAACCAACTCCCGAGCCTTCTTGAATTACCAAACGATTAGACAAACATCTACACACATAATTCTTTAAAGAGTTAATAAACATTAAAAATATCACTTTAATTATAATTAAAAACTGACAACAATTAATACAAAGTAAACTACTTCATATTTATGGTTTATCAAGCTGAAATTCAATTTTAGAGTTTCATTTTTTAATTGAAAAATTCTTGAACCGCGTTTTGCACTTTTTTTTTTTAAAGTGAATTAGATTGAGCCGTCAGATTCCCGGTGTGTAATGCTTGGGTAAAGTGAGCTGCAGTCGACTTATAGAAGTGTTTCTGCATATTGATTAAGATATCTCAGAAACTAAAAATCGGACCTGCGTACTGTAAGCGAGGGAATTGTTCAGCATTTCATCCTCTTTATAATGGATATTATTCAAAATTGTACCTTAACGCGATGTCGTGTTAAAAAGGCGAAAAGGAAAAAATAGTCGAAAACGATATAAGGGATTTTATGGACGATATGGATTAAGATATCTTAGAAATTAAAAATCGGATCATCCTATAAGCGAGGTCAATGTTCATCATGTCATCCTATTAATTATAATTTATATTTCATATTATTAACACGCCTTGTTGATGTTTTTACTACAATTGTGTGATCTAAAGCATACACCTTAGATTTTTTTATTATTCCATAAAAACATTTATTACGTTATACATCTATTTTAGACCCATTCAATAATTACCTTCTATGACATGAAATAAATTTTCTAAAATATTTGGCTCGCCAACGATTTTATTTCCCGAGAAAATTGTCACAATGTTCAAAATAAATTATGTAAATTGACACTGTTTTTGGATAAAAATGAAACGAATTACTGTTCTCTTTTTTGCAAACAAATTATAAAAAATATGAATCCACGACGACAACATTGTCTGGTCTTCGCCATTGACCTAGGATTGAAACACTTAAATAACTCAAGAAAACAGTTAAATAAAATAATAGTACACAGTCACAGCCAACGACTCTTCTGTTTGCCAAACTTCACGATTTTGGCAAGACCTTTTTAATTCTTAGCAAATTGTCTAGAGAAGTAATATTAAAAATATTTATATGAGTACAATAACGTTTCTAAAGTCAGAATAAAACAATTTTAACAAAAGATATTTTAAAATGTCTAGATATTTTTATTTTACACAAGGACTGGAATGATTTAGCTTATCGTGTAAACAATTCAGTACCATTTACTTTTTCATCGATAACTAATTCATAAATATTTCATCTTAACCTATGTTCCATCTCTCTACATTTTCTTCGATAAATTTAGACAGCATAACCAAAAATAACACTTATAGGCCCAGCATGTACATACAAAATTGTTATATTTTAAGTGACAGGTTCCATACGTTTACGATCCAAGCACCACAATGGTTGTTCAGCAGCACTATTTATATTTGAATTATTTCATGTCCAAATCATCCAATATCTGGTTGTACTTGGCGCCTCATGAGGCAGAGTGGTATTTGTCGATCTCGTACCTTGGGAAGACTAATTGTTGAGTATATTTAAAAGGAAAGACTCAGCAGATCTACCATGAAATACCTCAGTAAGGAGTAAACAGGACCCAAGAATATGGGGAATATTCTGATATGATATTACTGAAGAGTAGATGATATTGCAGACGGCTGAGCACGTCATTTAAACCGCTAGCGAGGCACAAACTCCATTGGGTACCCGGAATCTTACGTCCACATTAAGATCGAGTTCTCTCATCTAGAGATGGGACAAACTACCCCTTTATCCTTATGAGTGGAAAGTTGCAGTAGGGCAGGGACAATTCAATCTCGAAAGAAGAGGACTCGTTCTTGAAAAACCGCTGAACTGAACAGAAGAAAACCCTCGATATATGTCCTCAAGGCATGACTCAAATATTAGCTGCTCTTTTCTTCTGAATTCAAAGATGTTGCCTGAAGAGGATTGATAGCGATGATTTTCTTTTATGATATGTTTATAAACAAAAGACCCAATTATATATAAAAACATATATATATATATATATATTATATATATATATATATATATATATATATAAAAAAATATATATAAAAACAAATAACTTTTTTGTATTGAAAGTTATTAACTGATTTTAGGCGATAATTTGCATTCTGTCTCTAGGTATATATTGGAAAATGAGTAGAGAAGGAGAGTGGCCAAATACTCCAATTCATCAAGTTTTTATCTAAAGTCAGGTTTCTTAAAAATACTTTTAAAAACTTACGCTTCGATTTTATTTATAGAAATACGTCAGTTGTAAAACATCTAGAATAGGGAAAGAGAAATAGAAGAAACTGTAGAGCAAGGTACTCGATTAAACATAAAGAATAAATTAACTGAATTGAAACATTCAATCAACTGAAGAACCATAAAGCTCCTAAGAATTATGAGTTGCCTACAGAACCCTTAAAATATGGCGGAAATGAACTTTCCAAGACACTCCAAAACAAAACATCCTTCTGATTAACAGTAGTAAGAAAACTTCATCAACCATATAGAGAAAAACTATCATATGCCCAGTTGATAAATAGAGCGTTCAGCTGAAGTATACAAACTGCCCTGGAATATAATTACTTACCGTGGAATATACTTAGACACAAAATATTCTGAAACTTTCCAACTACTCCCTCCTGCTGCTGAACGTGAGATTGGCAGCTTACCAATGTGAATTTATGCGAGTGAAATATGTGACGGAGCAGATCCTTAACCTACGAACCATGAAAGAAAGGGAAATAGAATATAAAATTAAAACACATCACTTCTATATCAATAACAGCAGCGACAGTGAAGAGCTATACAACTAGAAGTACTAAATGATCACAGAAAACTTGTTAGCTTAATTAGAGTAACGATATCAGAGCGGAGTGTGTTGCGAGAGGCAATGATGAAATATGTGAATATTTCCCATCAATAAGTTGTGTAAGGCAAGGAAATGCTTTGTCATACTACTTACTCAATTTTGCCCTTGAAAGAGCTCTTCCAAAATTACTTACAAAAATACAGATCAAAAGTACAATTTTCAATAGAACGGTCCAATAACTTGCATATTATGATGAGACTGACGTTGTAGAGAGCAATGTTGTCGCGCGCTCTGGTTGGTTGGTTGTGTAGTAAAGGCATAGAACCTGTTGGTCATCAACGCCGTTAATTAAAATTATATAAAACTTCACTTCCTTTTTTATCGCCTTTAATTTATTTGGAGGGCTCCGTGACAAATCCTTGTACCAAAAAACTTAATACACTTCATTACTTTTTTTAAAAGTAAAATTAGATCAGCAATATGCTTACTATTTCTCTTCATATACTTTCAAGCTTTTTATTTTATTTTTTGTAAGTTAATGGGTCAAGATGTAAAACTAGTTTAATTTAAGGAACAAAATATACATAAAAATGCATATATTTTTATAAACTATTGGAAAACTTTTATAAAAATTGAAATAATAAAATAAACCTTTTAAATGATACAATAATCCTATCATTATTAAAAATAAAGGGAAACACATTATTATGACTTGAAATATGAAAATAGGGGTAACATAATTGAAATTAATAAATATAAATATTTTTATTATTAAATTTTTATTTTTATTTTGCTTACTTAGAACTATTTAAGTTAATTA